TGGGCCTGGGAAATGAGCCGATACGCCGCCAGTCACTTCTCGAGACGGTTGCTCGCACAGTGCGGCCCACCTGGCTCCAGACAGCAACGGGGATCATCATCGATCGTAGGTAGAATCATCGAGAGTAAAAAGCTCTTGTCAAGCAACAAGCACCATCGACGATGCCGACTGCTGCAGCTTTGTGTGTCGAACGATTCGAGCTTTAAGCTCGTACCGACGTATCGCGGCGACCAAATGCTAGAGGCTGGTCATGAGACGTGGCTGTTCATACTTTGGCGCCCAATCGCTAGTGAGCTCGCTGTGTGGAAGCGTGTGCCGTTGATTGCCCGAAACCTTCAAACACAAGCCAAGCAGTCAGGCTTTGCTGTCGCTGCCGCTGCCGGCTCGAAGGCCTTGGCAGCCAAAGCCGACAAACAGCGCGGACAGACACCCCACGCGCCCTCATCAGCACAGTCAGAAAAAGAAAAAGAAAACAAATTAAAATATTTTTTCTCTGTTTTTGTCGACAGAACTGCAGCTCAGCTGCAGCGAAGCTGAGCGCCCTGGCAGTTGATGGGCACATTTCTGTCGTTGTTGCTGCCGCTTGGCAGAGTGGGGAATAGCAGGTACACAAAATTTAGCTGCGCTGGAGCCCGTGCCGCGCCCGCCGCCGCCCGCCCGCGGCAAGCGTCTGTTTCGTCGCGACCCTGCTGCTGTTCACGTTCCTCGACCCTTGCTGCTCGAGCAAAAAAAGCGATCTGCGCCCGCAGCAGGCGATTTCATCAGCCGCCGCTTCCCTCGAGCCTTCCCCGTCCCCGCCCCTGCCTCACCACCACCAAACTTTATCGCGGTCGTCACACTTTGCACTGCTCCGCACGCTCGCCTCCGTACATCTTGGCCACTGCCGTCCGGTCTGGATTACGTGGAGCCGCGAAGGAAGCTTATCGACTTGGCCAACAGCGACGCGACGGCGATCCGAAGGCGTCGAGGCCACGGACCCAGCTTTCAAGCGCGTTCTGCCCTATCATCCGCCAGCACAATCCCGCAACTCAGCCAACGGCCGCACCGCTTCCCATGACCCTGTCGCGCTAAGCCGAGCCATCCACGGCGCTCCACCTGTATCGGCTCTGCACCAGCATTGCCGCAAGACACCAAAGACCTTGACCATTGCATCTAGAGCAGCGCCAGTCCTAGCACCTCTCTCGACGCCACTACCCACCGACCCTTTCCGTGTCGCATCCGTGATCAGTATCGTCAATGTGCTGATATACCCTCGGCCACCCAATAGCTTCCCTCGCCAAGATGCCTCTTGAACAGATTCGACCCGTCGCCGGGCTCAACTCGTCCGAGTCGCTGCGACGCGCCAGCTACTTTGGCGAAGCATCTACATCCTACACGAGCCAGAGCCAATCTCGCGACGACCATGGCAGCGATTCGGATCGGGATCATGCCGATCACGATGGCGACGATGAAGATGCCGATCTCAGGCGATATTCGACGTCGTCTCGCAAAAGCGAGTCGATGAGCCTGTCTAAGCTCGGTGGCGTGGGTGGTGTCACGCGATCTGGCAGCTGGGGCCGCAACTCACTGTCCGACGAATCGCATTCTGCCCGACCGCACCGTGACGAATCACGTCAGTCGCTCTTCCGGCCTCTCCGATCGTCACTCGCCCAATACCGCGAGGAATCCGACGAGGAGGAAGGTTCCCACGCCCACACCACCGCGCAATCTTCGGGTCTTCCATCTGCCTTTGAAGTCGGCGGAGCTGCCGATCGGCGAAGCTCCGATGGCGACCACGGCAAACCCGCCGCCACGCTCCGTTGCGATCCACAGCCCGATCGAGCCACCTCCTCCGGGCCACCAGCATCATCACGAACCTCGACTGCCTCTTCTGCGGCCGCTTTCTCCCTGCGCTCCCTCTCCAATCGCAACTCCACCGGCAGCGTGTCGAGTCTGGCATCCTCGGTCGTCTCTCGCGGCGAATCAGATCGACTGACTCCCGCGACCCCCACCGAATCGCCTATCGCGCTCGATCCATCCTTGTCTGCCAAATCTCCGGCCGAGTCCGCCCTGACAAGCTCTTCGTCCTCGACCTCGCTCACCGCTCCAGCGAGCCCGACAAGAACCGAGTTGGCCGACCCGTCGCTTCCTGTTCCGAGCAATGCCCCGCACGACGACGAGGCTCAAAGGACAGCTCCCTCGCCACCCGTAGACCAGATGGCAACGAAAGAGCACCAACTCGACACACACGCTGCCGCGTTCACAAGCGATGATGCAACGTCAGCATCACCGGATCAAAAGAGCTACGCGCGTGAACACGACAGCGCAGCGAACAACCCAGCAACCTTCTTGACCAGCCAACTGTCTCCTCCACCCGACAAGATGAACACTCGAGCCGAGTCCCTCAGCCCAGCAAGTTGCCTCCAACCCAGCGCTGAAGAGCTCCTCTCGACTTCGTCCACAGGCATCTATTCGCCCCTCATCCCGCGTCGTCATTCGGGCATGATCATGCTGCGCTCACGATCCCAGCTCGCGCTGCATTCCGGGCTTGCCATGACGTTTGCCAACTCGGGAGGCGGCCGAGCTGCCGCCCGAGAGCGCGCCCGCAAGCAGACGGGCTGGGAAAACGCGCCCTTCAGCGTTCTCGAAGCGCAGCGACACGCCCGGAGCTTTGCCTATTCACAACCTGCGTCTCCCGGCGCCTCGACAACGACCATCGCATGGGATCCTTCCGCAAGCCCGGCGTTGCTCCAGCCAGCCGCGAATGTCACAGAAGGCGGGCTGGCAAGCTCGCCCCAGCTAGCTACACGTCCGCTGGGCCGAACGTTGGCATCACCAGAATTGTCTCCTTCCACCCAACTGCCCGTGGACTCTAGCGCATCTACTCAACGCCCAGCTCCCCCCTTGCGTCAAAAGTCGGAACACAGCCTCTCTCGGGCCGCTCTGCTGCGTCTTGACACGATGCTGGGCTGTCCCGTCAACGAGCCAGCCGACCCGGCCTTGCCGTCCTCTGCCGACGCTGCCTCGTCATCCGTATCGGTTGGGCCCAGGATGCAGCCTGTCCGATCGCCATCGGGATCTGTGATCTTGGGGTCCAGCAGCCTCCTGCGCACCCCGACGACGGAAGAGTGGTCGCGCTACCTCGAGAGCCAGGGGGTCGGATTGGCAGGGCGAAGAAGCCGGACAGGCACCAACCTCAGCTCGGGCTCTTCCGCACAGCGTATCAACCGGATGGCCATGTCGGGGATCCAGTCCCCATCCAAAGCCGACATTGAGTCTGGCGTGGCTGGCGGCGCAGAGTACGGAGATGACAGCGATCTCGACAGCGACGACTCGGACGATCACGATCTCGGCGTCGAAGTGTTGGAGAAGCTCAAGCAGCTTGGGCTGAGCCGCGCTGCAAGCAGGGCAGGCTCGGTATTCGGCGATGAGCTGGCGAGCCTGCATGAAGAGGACGAGGACAATCTATCGCCTGTCTCGCCGCAGATCGACAAGGTCCAAGCTGTCGAGGATCTGACCCCGCTCACTCCGTTGGCGTCCGGCGCCAAGACCCTTCCGCCGCAAGCCTCGCCTGGGCTTTTGTACGATGGCAGCCCTGGCACACCTCAACCCGCTATCGAGCGCGGCGCAACGATGCGTCTGCCGCGAAGCAAGCGACCCACCATGTCCATGTCGGGCGATCTGCAGCCTGCAGGCCAGCTATATCCTTCGGACTACAAGGGGCAGAAGGGCATCACGGACTTCGAGATCGTGTCCGACGTGGGCCGCGGCGCATACGGTCTGGTGAAGAAGGCGAGGAAGAAAGGGCCTGACGGACGTCCGCAAGGGAAAGAGGTGGTGATCAAGTACATCATCAAGAGCCGAATCCTTGCGGACTGCTGGCGTCGGCATCGCGTGCTCGGGCCGATTCCCGTAGAGATTCATGTTATGGATCAGCTACGACGTATCGCGTACGTGCCGCCCTCCAAGCCTCGACCGTGGGCGCCTCAGCGGCCAAAGACGCTGGAGGAGTATCGTGCACGCAAGAGAGCGGAAGCCGAGGGTGAGCAGGTGGCTGTTGCCGATGCCGCCTCGGCCGATGGCGCGCTCTCGCATCCCAACATCTGCAAGATGCTCGACTTTTTCGAAGACCACGAGTTCTACTATCTCGTGATGCCCTGCTTTGGACGGGGTCAAGATCTGTTCGACTTTGTGGAGAGCGCGCCGGATGGACTGGCGGCGTCGCAATGCCGAAGCATCTTTGGACAGGTAGCGGATGCGCTGTGGTTCCTGCACGCTAACAACATCGTGCATCGCGACATCAAGGACGAAAACGTCGTGCTGGACGGCGAGGGCAACGCGCAGCTGATTGACTTTGGCAGCGCCGCGCACGTGCGCCCAGGCAAGCTCTTTGACACGTTTAGCGGTACGCTCGACTACGCGGCTGCGGAGATCCTGCAAGGCGAAAAGTACTCGGGGCAGGCGCAGGATGTGTGGGCGCTGGGCGTGGTCGGCTTCGTGCTGCTGTGTGGAGAGTGTCCCTTCTGGAACGGCGAAGAGGCGATCCAGGGGCTCGAGGACGGCACGCGCGCGGCGCAGACGCTCAAGGAGCGCTGCCTCATTGCGCGTGTCACGCCGGCAGACGCGGACAGCGAGCCGAGGGAGGAGGAGGGGGAGCTGGCTCCGCTCGACCCAGCCTGGTCGCGGGGCAAGGACAAGGAAGGCGCCGAGCCGGACGGCGGCGGAAGGGTGGACGACTTTGTGGACCTCATCTCGCGCTGTCTCGAGCTCGACGTCGATGCCAGACCGAGTGCCGAGCAAATCTGTCAGCATCGATTCCTCGCCGGCCACGCGGGCTGGACGGGGCGGCGCGGATGGCAGCGGCTCAAGGCGCCGCTAGTCGCATCGTGCAGCGTGCCGGCTGAAGTCAAGGTCAGCGCCGCACCTACGATTCTCGCCCCTTCCCTGTGACCGCAGCCTTGGCGCCGTTCGTGGCCTGTTTTGATCTGTATCTATTCATCATGTCTCAGTTAACCGCATAGCATAGTATCGTATCGCAAGTGTGAATGCGCAGACACTAGAGGCCGAGGAGATGCTGATGATGGGGATCGAAATTTCATGAATTCAAAATGTTAGACCGCAATGAACCCTCGAAATGAAGCGCGAGGCACGACGCTGGACTGGCTGCTCAGCTCCTGAGATGAGCTCCCGAAGCTGCATTTTTCGAGTCGACGGCCGTGTGTGGGCAATTCTGTGTGACGGGCGCAGACTGGCAGGGTGCGCGTGTGTGTTTCGGAGAGGCCGTGTATTTGGACTTGACACCAACACCCTTAGCCTCACCTTTCCTCACATCCTTCATCTGCTCGTCGCTCTTCACACTTCTCCGCCTTACCATCATAAGCCGACAATCTGCATCGCTGCACTCCGCCACGACAGCTTGAAGGGCGTCGCACTGACTGAGCAAGTGGAGTCCCACCACGCCCTGTGCTCTGACCCACCTTTGCAAGACCTAGCGAGGCTCTCGGTCGACCACAGCCAGTCCTCTGGGCAAGCTCGACCAACATGTCGGAGAAACGTCCACTCTCTCTGCAGTCGTCACGTACGCGCCAGCGGCTTCCGACACTCGCCGAGGTGCTGGCGCGTCGTACGCTCCCGCCTGTCGATCTATACTGCTTCTACCTGTATCTGCAGCGCGAAGCAGCCGAAGATGCGCTCGACTTCTGGCTCGACGTGCAGCAGCACGAGAACCTGTGCAGGGCGTACTTCAAGGACCTCCGCAAGTCTGGCAAGTCGGTCAAGGAGGACTGGCCCCAGTACTACGCAGAAGCGCTCGAGCGCGGCAGCATCTACAACAAGATCAACGGCATCAACGAGCAGAGCGCCGACACGGGCGCACCGTCGCGTCGCGGGCCCGACAGTAGCTGGGACCACCAGAGCCGAGTCGAGAGTCCCGACGCCGCCTACTCGACGATGTCGCACGCACCCAGCCCGGTGCCTGCTGCTGCCACTGCATCTGGCGCGCCACTTGCAGCCCCACGCTTTCCCGGAGACCCAGACTACCTTGCGCAGCAGACACGCGCAGAGAGGAAGAGCATCCTTGCAAAGCGCGGATCCGTCGCACCCACCGTCATCTCGCGCTCGGCAGCGATCACCAGGACGGACCTGATCGCCTCGGCGGAACGCATCTACGCGAGGTACCTGCTGCCTGGGTCTGAAAAGGAGATCTACCTGCCGGGACCGCTGAGGATCCACTCGTTCCCGATCTCGTCGTCGACCTTGCCGCATCCGCAGGACGCGGAGCAGCAGAGGGCGCTGGCGCGAATTCCCGACATGTTCCATGCACAGAAGGAGTACGTCTTCCGCACCATGGAGGCGGACATCTTTCCGCGCTTCCTGCGGGCCAAGGCGTTTGGCAATCTCACGCCCATCTCGGTGCTGGTCAGGCTCTCGCTTGGACTGCTGGCCTTGTGGGCGGCCTTGGCGACGGCGTTCAGCTTCATCTTCTTGGATGTGGGGCGTGCCAAGCGCTGCTGGGTGATTCTGCCGTTTGCCGTGGCAGTGCTGTTGCTCATGTCGCACCAGTACGAGCTGGATCCCATCCTGGTGCTCTTGGCACAGAGCGAGACCACGCCCTTCCGTCTGATTAGGATACGCGAGCACTACGTGCACAGGCTGCTGCTCCAGCGTGCACTCAGCGTCCTCCTGCTCGTCGTGCTCATCACAGCGGCTCTGACAGTGCTCTTTGTCTTTGTTCCGGGTCACAGACTTTAAGTGCCCCGGTCCCCAATTGCTTTCGATCTCTTGCTTGCTTCCTCTTTGATACCTGTTCTCATGTTCGCACGGGATGACACAGATCCCCGTGCCGCGCTGGTCGCTCTACACACACTCGTTTGCCAACACCCCACCGCTGTCGTTCATTTCCTTGGTCTTACTCCAATCCAGTTGCTGTGCCAGATCAACCAAGCCGCGTGGTGGCTGAAACGCCTTTCGAATGTCGTGTGTGCGATTTCAAATCGACGCTTTGCTCTGCTCCTGTCTTGGTCTCATCGTCGTAGAGCTGAACACAATCACACTGAGGTATGAACTGGGATGACCTGAATTTTAGGTGGCGTGCGATGTGCGCACAGCGAGGTATATATACAGCCCGACGCCGATCGACCTCACCGGATCGAGCGGCGCGTCAATGCAAAGATTCGGAGCACAGGGAAGGGGAAATGCAGAGTGGTGATGATGAGAGGAATTAGAGGAAGCGACCAAACTTGGTACCATCGACCTTGGCGTTGGCACGGAGCTCGCCACGCTTGACGATGGTGTATGCCTCACCGGGCGTGACGTAGGTGGCAGCCTTGTCGCTGATCGACTTGACGCCGTCCGCCGACTGCTGCGACTTGAGCTGCTCAGAGGCAGCTGCCACGGTCGAAGTAGTGGTCATGGGAGTCTCGTCGGTAGGAGTGGCGGGGGCGGCAAAGTCCTCGTCGTCCGAGGTGACGGGCGAGGGGGGAGCGCCGGCAGGGCGGTGGGCCGAGGTGCCGGTGGCGCGGTTCTCACGCTCGGCCTTGGCAAGCTCGTCCTTGGCGAGCTGGTAACCGCCGTCGAGGACACCCACACGCATCATCGAGAGGAGGTTGTGTGCCGCGTTCGAGTGGTCGTAGACACCGCCGAGGAAAGCAGTGGTAGCGTCCTTGCCAATCTTGCCCGTGAGCAGGTGGCGGCCACCCGGGTGCTCGTCGAGGAAGGACGAGACGTCGTGGATGAAGCCGTGGACAACAATGAGGGGGCGAGTCTTGGACTCCTCGACAAAGTCGTCCCAAGAGATGACGGGGAGGTGAGCCGAGGACTTGGGCCACTCGAGCTGCTGACCAAGCTCGTGAGCCTTCTGGAGCTGCATCGCAAGACGACCCTTCTTGACCTCGTTGTCGGGGAAGGTCTTGAGGTGCGAGGCGAGACCGAGCTTGCTCATGGTGCCAATGAACCACTTGGTGGGGTCGAACTGGTACCACTGAACAGCGTTGCGGTAGTCCATGGGGAACTGGTGGTGGAAGTTGTGGTAGCCCTCGCCGACAGTGACAAGAGCGGTGAAGAAGTGGTCGCGGGGCGTCATCTTGTTGTCAAAGGTGGCCTCGCCGAGGTAGTGTGCAAGCGAGTTGACGCAGAAGGTGGAGTGGTGCACGAAGAAAAGTCGGAGCATGCCGGCGAAGAAGAAGCCGCCGCGCCAGTCACCCCAACCCAGACCGGCAACAAGGGTCGGAAGACCGAAGCCGAAGAAGAGGAGCATGGGGATGTAGAACTTGTGCTGGAACTTGATGACGGGGTTCTTGCGCAGGTCCGAGATGTCGGCAACACCGGGCTTGCGACGGGGCTTGATGAGCATCCAGCCGAGGTGCGACCAGAAGAGACCGAAATGGGCTCCGTAGGGGTCGAGGTCGGTGTCGGTGTAGCGGTGGTGAGCGCGGTGACCGCGGGCCCACCAGTGGATGGAGCCCTGGACGGCACCCGAGCCCATGCAGGCCAGGAAGTACTGGAGCGGGAGCGATGCGTTGTAGGCACGGTGGGCCCAAAGACGGTGGTAGCCGGCGGTGATGCCGAGACCAGTGAGGAAGTAGTAACCGAAAGTCCAAGCGGCGGTGTACTTGTTCCAGCTGGTGGTGAAGAGGCCGTAGAAGGCGAGGATGGGCGTGATGGTGAGAGCCAGGAACGAGACCCACTGGATCTCGCCGAGAATGTTCTTGAGCTGAACGGGGGGGAGAGGCTTCTCGGTGGCGAGCACTCGAGAGACGTAGTCGTCAGGGATGTTGGCGTCGGCGAACTCCTCCTTGGGAGCGGCCTGCGCATCCTTGGTGGCGGTCGTCGACCTTTGCTTCAGTTCGGCGGCCATGTTTGCGACGAACGTGAGTGTACAGGTGATGGTGCGGAGATGAGAGAAACAAAGCGGCTAGCTCAGGAGTTTTATATGAAGCGGGCCACGAGGCTTTTGCGGGCGGTGGAAAGACAGGGCAGCACAGCACTACATACGCGTCGGTCAAAATGTCGAGCAGGAAAAAAGACGGCTCCACGGCGCAGTCTTCGGTGGGGCAGCTTGGCGCGAGCGAGTCTCTCTCTCCCTCTCTCTGTTGGCTCGGGCATTGGACTGTGTCGAGGCCGGCGCACCGGGCAAGTGGCGACACACGGGTTGCTCAGCAGTGCAGCAGCCATCAGGGGCCACGAGTGATTTTCACAGCAATCTAGCGGAAGGAGCATCACGACAAGGCTTTGGGTGTCACTTCGGAGGTTCCGAGACCGAAGCAGAAGGTGAGGATTTGGGACGGAGCATCTTTGGGCTCTGCTGAGTGGTGGAGACTCACAGGGCTTTAGCCGAGTGTGCTGCCTGCCTGACCATCTGGCAGAAGAGTCGCCACCGAACACGTTGATGCCCGCTGGGTGCGAGGCAGGAAGCCATTCAGTGCGGAAGGCTGGGGTGGCGGCGGCGGTCATGGTGGGGTCTTCGGCCGTGCTGGGTTGAGCTGTTGCCCCAGGACTTCCGCCTAGGATCCATTTCGCAGGCGGCTCACCGGACGTCCAACTGCGCCGTGTCGATGGCTCGACGCGAGGTTTTCGGTCCCCGGCGGCGAAATGTGACTGCCGCAGTGCCTTTGCGCACTCAATTCTCCAGCCGTTTTGGAAACTTTCGCTTAGAGTCTTTGGGCGCAAGTTTCACGCTGCGTTGCCTTGAGGTGGAGCTACGCGGGGCTTCAGTGGCAATTCGCCCTCGCTGCACGCGTCCGCTATCCGCCCCGTGGCCGAAGCATTTTTGTTGGGGCAAGATTGCTGCATGTCGCTGCACGCGGGTGCATGGGCCTCACTCATTTCATGCGGCCCTGACCAAGATGTGTGTCAGGCCCACAAGACGATGATACGCCCAAGGCCTGCAAATCTGCGTTGACACCCGATCCCATCGCCTGTTGCATCGTCGCCGAGGACCGATCAAATGAGAAGGCGACAGGGCTGACCAAGCCCTGTCATGCCAACGTGTGAACGAGGGTGAATGCATTCTGCGCTCAAAAAGTCGCCGTCGCCAAGATAGCCACGTCGATAGCGAGGCGTTTGAAATGGCTTCCTCGGACAAACACGCCTCCGCCGTTCTTTCCCGAGCGAGCCGGGACGTTCAACTCCTCGATTCACGGCCAGATCATTTTGTGTGGCAGCCGGGAGGCCTTGCGTCTACAGAATCGAGCGATAGTGCTTCACGCCGCCTACGCTTTCAGCCAGCAGAGTTCCAAGCGGGGGAACATCGCAAGGTGGCGAGCAGCTGTCAGTGCGTCACTGTCGTCATAGTCCCGAGATTGGCGAGGTGTTAGAGCGACAACTGGAACGATTTCGGCGTGGCCCGGTTGGTCGAGCTCTCGGAGGTTTCTTCGGAGGTTGCTGGCCAAGCAAGAACCTCCGGCCGAGCAGGAGCTTTCGGCGTGGCTCAGAAAGCTCCGGACCCGTGGCGTGCAATTTTGTTGGGGCGGGGCCTGCAGAATTACGGTAGCCCGACGGCAGCTCGCGTCGTGACCTCCGTCCACAGATTGTCCTTATCTTCGTACGAGAAGTTTTGCGGTTCGGCTCAAGACTGCCGCTGGTGCATTACATAAGATCTGGTCATCACATCTGCACAGGTGCGTAGAAGCCAACGGGTCGACATTCGCCCGACTTGTACGGCTGTTCTTACTCTCTCGGAATCTCTCAGAAGCGCTTGCTTTCAGCCAAGATTGTTCGCGAGAGGGGAGAATTCTTGACCCCGCTTCGGTTGAATGAGATTGCGAGGCTGCTGCTGACGTTGGACTGATTGTACATAGGAGATCGGAACGTTTGGATGATATGATCTGAGAACGAGGGACGAGGAGAGCACGAGGGGAATGAAACAGAGAGTATAAAGAGGTGCCCGACGCAAGCTGCCGTCCGTTCGACGAAAGTCAGATGAGAGCTGGTTCGTTTGAAGGCGGACGGGGCCAAGCGGGAGCGGGAATCATGCACAGGTTGAAGTGTGCTCATGGACAAGAAACGAAAGGGTTTTTCATGCAGGGTTGGGTCGCTGTGACCATGCCAGGAAGCGAATCTACGGCAAAGTGTGCCGAGCGGGCCAACCATTTAGTGGGCAGGCTTCTTGATGACCGAGGTGTCGGGAACACCGGGAAGAGGGAAGCTGGTAGCGAAGGCCTCGACGTCCTTGTTGAGCTGCTTGACGGCGTCGGACTGGCGGGCGGCGTTCATGAAGTCGACGAGCTTCTTGCCCGAGGTCTTCTGGATGTCGAGCGAGATCTGGACGACGCGGTCGAGGAACTCGGCGACCTTCTCCATGTCGCTCTCGTTCATGGAGCGCGAGGTGAGCGCACCGGTGCCGATACGCACACCACCGGGCACGAGGGCCGAGGTGTCGCCGCTGACGGCGTTCTTGTTGAGCGTGATGTGGGCAAGGTCGCAGATGTTTTCGACCTTGGAGCCGGTGAGGCCGAGAGGACGCAGGTCCCAGAGGATGAGGTGGTTCTCCGAACCGTCGGTCTGGAGCTTGTAGCCCTTGCCCGAGAGGACCTTGGCGATGGCCTGCGAGTTCTTGATGACCTGGACGGCGTACTCCTTGAAGGCGGGCTCGGCGGCCTGCTTGAGCGCAACGGCGATACCGGCGATGGTGTTGTTGTGGGGGCCACCCTGGCAGGCGGGGAAGACGGCGGCGTTGACGCGGCCCTCGATCTCGGCGTCGCGGTCCTTGCGGAAGAAGATCATACCGGCACGGGGACCACGGAGGGTCTTGTGGGTGGTGGTGGTGACAATGTCGCAGTACTCGAAGGGGTTGTTCTGCACCTGGGCGGCGACAAGACCCGAGATGTGAGCAATGTCGGCCATGAGGTAGGCGGACTGAGTCTTGGCGATCTCGGCGAGCTTGGCGTAGTCCCAGTCACGAGGGTAGGCGGAGCCACCGCAGATGACCATGCGGGGCTTGAAGAGGTCGGCGTTCTTCTTGAGCTCGTCGTAGTTGATGTAGCCGGTGGCGGGGTCGACGTTGTAGGGGAACGACTGGAAGTAGATGGACGAGGCCGAGATCTTCTTCTTGGCGGTGTAGTAGCCATGGGTCAGGTGACCACCGGAGGGGAGGCCGAGGCCCATGATGCGGTCCTGGGGCTGAAGGAGCGCGGTGAAGGTGGCGAAGTTGGCCGTGGAGCCCGAGTAGGGCTGCACGTTGACGCCCCACACCTTGGGGTCAAGGTTGAAGGCCTTGAGGGCACGCTGCTGGCACAGCACCTCGAGCTGGTCGATGTACTCGTTACCACCGTAGTATCGGGCGCCAGGGAGACCCTCGGAGTACTTGTTGGTAAGAATGGAGCCGTTGGCCTCCATGGTGGCGAGCGAGGTCAGGTTCTCGGAGGCAATGAGCTCGAGACCGGAGAATTGACGGTAAGTCTCATTCTCGATGATCTGCTGGACCTCGGGGTCAGCCTCGGCGAGGGACTGGTAAAGAACCTTGTTCTGTGGAGAGTGGCGTGCGATGAGATGGAACGCAAGTCAGCAATCGAGATCTCGACAACTCGAGCGCAGGGACGGACCCAGAGGGGGGAGGACTTACGAAGTCGGTGGGGACGGCGACGGACATCTTGGAGGCGGAAGTGGCGAAGGTGCGGGGGATGGTGATGGCGGTAAGAGAAGGAAGAGTGCGAGCTACGGGAAGAGAAGTGTTCCTAAGAAGGTTTTGAGCAAGTCTTGCACAAGGGCGACGGGCAGCCATGGAAGACAATGTGAAGAAGTTGGTGGTGGCAAGGGATGAGGCGGAGGTGGGGGGTGGGATTCAAAGAGTTCGGAAGCCTGGCGTGGGCGCGCGTCGGCTCTGGTGCAAGAATGTGCGCGGTGCCGTGCACGGATTGGCTGGCGACTTGACCGATGCGGAGACTGCAGTCGGGTTAGGTCGAGTCAGGGCAATGAAGGGCCGGGTGTCTTGCAGCGCCTCTTTGCGCGGGTTGAGGAGAGACGCTGTGGAAGAAGTGCCAAAAAAAATTCTTGGCTGGTGGCCGTGGAAAATTTGACTTATTGGGCGGATAGCGAGTCGGGTCGGCTGGTGTACCTAATCTGGACGCGTCTGTGGCGAATAGTGAGGCAGAAGAGCGCGAGCGCGGGAAGATCCAAGCGAGGTGAGTTGAGGCGGACCCTGTTTTTTTCTCGTCGACAAACGGTGGGAGGCAACCAACCCTTTTTTTTTCTTTCGTTTTACGAGCTATTCGAGACCCGAGTCGGGCAAGCTGGTTGGAAGTGTGAAACGAGGCAGGAGAGAAGGCAACGAGCCGAAGATGCACGGTGGGAAGGTTAGATCTTCTTGCATGCAATCCTAGTTTTCCAACCTGATTGAACGTGTCGCTGGTGCCGCAGACGCTTCTTGCGGGTTGCGCGGATCACGAGCCAGACTGGAGAGGCAGGGCCCAGCCCCGCACCTGTCTTCTCTCTCGCCGTTCTGCCAGTGAGACGGGGCTCTTGCGGCCATACAAAGCGAAGAGTGTGCGCATCTGGCGCGTCGGACACCGAGACTTGACACTTACCTGTTCTATGAGACGAGTTGTAGTTTGAAGATGATGGTTGGTGTGGAAGACGTATGCTAGCGTCGGTGGTGGATGTGCCAATGCTTATCAGTGTGCCGGCCACCGTCCGCAGCGACGAAGGCCGTTTCGAGACCGCCAAAGCCTTGGGAGGCTGGCCGACGAGATCACATTACCCTGCTGGCGAACGACGGCTTGGGTTACCATAAACGGCAGGTGTGCACGCGCGCCGCAGCTGGGACGGTGCGGATTTGCGGAAAAAGCGGGGGTGTGGGCCGCGAGCTCCTGTCAGAAGGAGTGCAAGGCCCTCGTCCGCCCGTCCAACTGGCGACGCAGCCTTGGAAAGCACCGGGCCCGTTGTCGCACCTCAGCTCGAGCTGGTCACCATCATGATTGCGCAGGGCCCAATTCAATGCGCGCCTGACCAGTCGGCAATCACTTTGGTCTTGAAGTTCACAGCATGATCGACAGCATCGCGTACACTGCGCGACCGACAGCCAAGCCCCGCTTGCGGATAGACTTGTTCGAAGCTCTGTATCTTGGTCCCAAACCATCTGGTCAGGGCAGTCCGGCGCAATCGTGGTCTCGGCAGGCCGTGGTCCAACTCGACGAGGTCGGTCGAGGCCCAGGGTGTGAGATCAAAGTGTTTGCACAAAGCTCGCTTCTTCCTGGATCGATCCAACCATCGGTCGATCGTGAGAATGCGACCCGATCCATCCATCTGCATGGCATGGACGGAGAGCGCGATTTTACAGTCCGCCTCGCCAACGCCGACTCGCCGCCGCAAGCTCACGTCACTGCATTTTACTCAGCTTGCACACTGCTCTCCCCCTATAGCACCTGCGAAAACACGTGCGACGGACGGCACATCGGCTTCTCGAAGTATCAAGCTTGTCTGACTTGGTGGCTGCTGTGTGCCTTGGCGCCGCATGTGTGACAACGCAAAGGGGACCGAGAGCGGCCCAGTGCGCGGCGCAGGTTCCGAGAGCATCCAAAGCGCCGCTCGGAAATTTAAAGCGACGCGTGAGGTGCGTGCATACAGTAGCGTGCGTGTGCGGGAGGCAGGCGTGTGCACGCCTGTCAATCGTTTCAACTCCACCGGAATGGCATTTCCGAGGCAGTCAAAGCGGGTCCTTTGGCTCGAAAAAAAGGGAAAAATTCACGCTGCAGCGCCCTGGTGGAGCACTGGAGCAAAGGTAAGCGATGCTCACGCAGAGCCATCTCCGCGGGTCCACGGTCATCTGGCCTGCGTGCCGGCTCGTAGGCGGCAGTGCGTGTCCCCTTTGGCCTTGGCACCGCAACCGGCTCGCACACACATCCACTCCTTCGTTGCCAGCATCTTCAACCTCTCTCTCCCTACAACCGCATCCATCCTTGCCTTGGGCTACCGATTTGTATGCGTGTCTGCTAAGCTCGACCTCGACCATGCTTTCGATCTAGATTCCTTCACGACGCTGCACGAGCAAGCTCATCTTTCGGTCGCACCGCGCCCCCCTCGGCCGAACGAGCTATTCCACCTGACACAGGCCGACAACCGCATCTGCCTACCAACCACTCTTTGTCCGTCATCATGGAGTCGAAGTCCACCTCTAGTCCCGCATCGCCGCCGAGGCTGTTGCGATCCAAGACGGAGCATCCCACGTCGCAGAGCTCGGAATTCACCGCAGCCTTTGCATCCTCGAGTCCCATCGTCGAAGCATCCGACCTGCTCGACACACAACCAGCCGCTGGACCATCAGCAGCTGCGTCAAGTTCCTCCTCGGCTCGCAAAGGTCGCGCCAATCGTGCCCGCACGCGCTCCGTGTCTTCCAACGCCGTCCCCGTATCTCAACTCTCCAGATCCACCCTCTCCTCTCTGCAGACCGAGCTCGATGGCGCTCTCGACCGCGGTCCAGGCACTCCGGACTTCACCCTTTCCGCCAGCACTCCGCAGTGGCGCAGGGCGGACGTCGAGCGCGATCGGACCATGTCGAGCTTGGGCCAGGGCTTGCAGCTCATCTCCGAGGCAGAAACCTCCGCGGGACCATCGTCGAGCAACCCATCCAATCGACAGCGCTCCGCAAGCGGTGCATCCCAGGCCTCCGCCTCTTCCCAATCGTCAGACTCTTACAAGAAAAAGTCGATGCCCGCCAATTCATTCACCAGGCCAAGGCTGTCGACGCTGCGCTCCTTCCTGTCGTCTTTCGCTGGCGGCAACTCTGCTTCCGCTCCAGGCAGCTCGTCCAACACGCCGCACGACGAACAGGCCAGAATGCTCGAAAATGAGCCCTCGACTTCCCACCGACTTTCTGTGCGCCCGCAGGCGCTTGTCATGCCATCCGCACGACCGGCAGCGCACGGCCTGGTCGGCCTCAACGAGGACAGTCCGCCGCTCACTCCTACCAGCGATCCGGACGAGCAGAGCGAATACCAGCAGTACGTCAACGCCTTCCGCCAGCAGCTCGTCCCAAAGCAGGCCGCCAGGCCACTCGGCGCGCCCAAACACCAGTGGAGTGCCGCTCAGGCTGCCGCCGATGCTGTGCAGGCAGACTTGGACGAACGCAACCGCATCACGCCACCCGCACTGGCTCAGTGGCCTTTTACTCCGCCACTCACAACCTCCAACGTCACCTCGCCCGTTGCTAGCAGCCGCGCCTTTTCGCCCCCAACACGACCGGACTCAACCATCACCACAGCCAGCGCATACCAAGGCATCCTACCGTCGCATCTGGTGTCAGGCGCCGCAGTGAGCAGTCGCTCCACCACGCCCACCTCATCGACCACTGCGTCAGGCACCGAGTCTGCGCGCACCTACAACCTCTTCGACGTCGACACGTACCGCATCGAGAGCGCCGGCAAGACTCTGCTCGCACTGCTGCCGCGCATCCAGATCAACCTCAGCTCGTGGCGGCTTTCGATGCCCAACGTGCGCCCCTACTTGCCACGCCTCATCTTTCTGTTTGTCATCTTTGCAGCCTCGACGTGCTGCATCGTCTTCATGCTCTGGACGCTCCCGCTCACGCTGCCCAAGCACATCACCAGCCTCACGCTCGCCGAGATCAAGCAGCTCGCCACGAGCCTCAAGGTCTACTCGCAGAGCAGCCCGCGTGCATTCGTGCACACGCTCGTCGTGCTCGGCACCTTCTTCACATGGAAGCAGTCGTTCTGCGTCCCAGGCAGCCTCATCATGAACGTCGTATTCGGCGCCATGTACGGCACCTACTCGGGCACGCTCTACACCTCCATCCTCACCGCCGTTGGCGGCGTGTTTTGCTACCTCCTGTCTGCGCCGCTCGCGCCGCTGATCACATCGTTGCCAGGTCTCGCCAAGCCGCTCGACGCCATGCGCCGCGCGCTCTCGCCAGGGCGTGCGAGGGCGTCGGGGCGCAGCGTCATGCTGTCCACCCCGCATACCGGCAGCAACGGCAACGTATGGACGTACCTTCTCGTCCTCCGCGTGCTCCCCATCGTGCCGTACGGCCTGATGAACATCGCGTGCGGCGTGCTTGGCGTGCCGCTCGTTCCGTACGCAGGCACTCTGGCCGTGGGCTCAATCCCGTGGAACTTTGTCACGTGCCAGGTGGGCGACCTGCTGCAGGAGATCGTCGAGGCACTCCCCGTGTCCGACGACACCACCGTGGGAGGGCTCAAGGACAAGGCTGCGAGCAGTGCTGGCGGCGGCATGCGTGCGATCGTCGACCGCATCTGGAACCGCGAGATGGTGGTCAAGCTCATCCTTCTCTCAATCGCCAGCCTGCTGCCCATTGTGCTTAGCAGGTATCTCAAGTACAGACAGAGACAGCAGGCCGAGGCGGAAGGATACCAGCCGGTCGATGCCAACGATGTCGACGACGATGGCATTGATGATGAGGAGGCGGATCGACCTGCGTCGCGCCGCTCTTCGCGTATAATCCAGCACAACGCAAAGACGGACGCGCTTCCTATAGAGAACGTGCCGCTGAACGACTTTGAGCCCTCGGCGTCGGCTCATAGCACCGTCGGCAGAGGCAGCAATCGCCACGCTGTCCGCAGCGCTTGGTTGTAAGCAACATGCCGAATGATAATTCCGTAGGAACCTTAAGTCATATTATCATGCAACCACATCTACATGCACAGCTCGCGGAATCGAGTCGCGTGGGCTGCGTTCCAGGAGAGCGAGGATAGGCTTAGGGGGAGATCCAGCTTTTGACGGCACGCTCGACGATGGGTCGCACGACCTTTCTACCGGCGTCCTTTCGGCCATGAGTCCACACAATTTGGCGTCGCTTCTTGCCCGCATGGTGCTTCATCTTGGGATGCTCCTCGAGGTCGAAGCTGTCGTTGAGGGCGGAGCTAATTACGCGGAAGAGGTCGTCGGCCTGGGTACGGTTGATGCGGTGGTCATGGCGGACAGTGAGCACGATCTCGCGCACCTTGTTGCCCTTGTGGTCCTTGTACTTGTTGAGACAGATGCTAACGTCGGCGCGGATCTCGGCGGTCCAGCGGCGCTCGACTCGGAACCAGTCCTTGAGCGACTTGCGCTCCGTGCGCTCAATTTGGTCGTCAATCGAAACGGGCGTGGAGGCAAAGCCCAGATGAATGGCCGGCGTGGCGGTGTCGGTCGTCTCGACCACATCGCCCTTCCAGTCGCGACGAAGGAGGTCGCGCACGCTGAGGTGCGAGAGATCGCGCTTGGCCTCCCCCAGCTCCTTGTCGAGTCGGTCCATGACTTGCGACAGGCTTTCGTTGTGCCAGTTGCTGCGCTCCAGCACGCGCTGCGAGACGTCTGCATCGGTCTTGGTCGACTTCTTGGGGTTCAAGCCGTCCGAGTCGATGGCGATAGCGTCTAACATGAGCTCGAGCAGCTCGTGAGGCATGTGGTATTCCCCTGGCCCGTCCGGGGGGCCAGGGATCGCCTCGAGCTCGTCGAGCATCTGTCGAGCAACCAGCGTCGTGCAGCTAGCCGCGGTCTCGAATATGCGCGGGTTGGCATTGGGCGCAGCGCCACGATCAGCGTGGTGGTCAATAATGCCCAGGACCTCGGCGTCTGCCCAAACGCTTAATGGCAAAGGATGGTCGACCAGGATGATGCCGCGAATCTGCTTCGCAATGGCTCTCGGGTGGGCGGGCAGCTCGTCGATCGTCAGCAGATCGCGATGACCGGAGCTCATCTTTGAGTTATCGAGCGCGAGCTTGTTCTCGGGGCGGAGGTCGAGAGCATCGAGCGGGGTCTGTAGCAGAGCGACGGCCTTGCGTGGCTGGGGGTGATGGAGCGTCGAGTGGGACAGGTGGTAGGCCCATGCGAGTGCTGCTGCAAGGGAATCGAGATCGCCACCCTCATTGCCCATGACAATGGTCCATTCACTGGCCTTGCCCAAGGCCCAGTCGGCGATAAAGTCGTGCTTGGTCGACTTGGACCATTCCGAGAAATGGCCGACGCCTTCCTCGCTGGCCCAGTAGTCGGCTGGCCTGAGCACTCCATCGGCAAACGTGTTCTCCGAAGCTTTGAACGTAGAGGCTGCACAGGCTACGTGCGGCTGTTCAACGAGCCCGTCGATCGAGGGCGGTGCAAGCTCGCTCTGCACGGCGAAGACCGCCACTGGTCGTTGCGGCAGAGCGCGGCCGTGCGCGAATGCAGACGCGAGAGCCACTACCAAGGCAGCAGCGGCTCCGAACCTCTCCTTCTTGCCTCTAAGCGAGACCATCTTGATCGTTGGTGATGATGGCGATGATGGCGACGCGGAAGGTTTGACGGTTGAAAGTCTCGAGCCCGAGGTGAAGGCGAAAGGCAGCCGTCTTGTGAATTAGGGGCGGAATATGGCAGGCATGCATGTCGGCGCTTCCGCCTTTGCTTCCGCATTTGACGAATTTTAGGCGCAACGCCCAGCCAGCTCGCATCGGTGAAAGTGGAGGGCACGGGACGATAACCCGCTCTAACATTCGCTCTTCGGGCGCACCGCACCGACCCTCGCAGCAGCCCGCCGCACAGCCAACGGCAGACGATCCGCTTCGAAACGATCACGCTGACGCAGATGCTTTCCGTAGCATCCGTGCCTAGCGACTTTGTTCTTGATTCTGGCATGGTTTCGCTTCCACATCCTTCCAGCGCTGATCCAAGCGCTCGTTCTCGGTGGACTCATTGAGAACAGATTACAGGTATCCAGTAGACTCAAGATAGATTCGGACTCTTCACAGACACGAAAGTAAGAACACATTGAGGGCATGAAGGGGATGACGATTGCGAACAGGGATGCTATGGACATGACAAGACAGCGCGCTCGACTTTAGAAAGGAGCGACCGTGAAGGAATCGTATGGACGACGTCACAGGGTGTGTTGCGAGGGGACTGTTTAGTAGTCCTCCTCCCACTCGGGCGAACGCTTGACCTGGGTGGCCATGACGGATCGCTTCGAGGGGGTCTTGATAGCGGGGCCGTTCGAGATCGAAGGGTAGTATCGGCAGTTGGAGCTCTTGCCCGCGGGCTGGGCAGCAGGCGTGGGCCTGACACCCTGGTACCAGGTGGAGCCCGAGTAGACACCGGGCCACTGGCCCTCGATGCCGTCGCACTGCTCGAACACACCGGCGTCGTAGTTGGCAGGCTCGTTCCACATGCAGCCCATGACGTCGTAGATGTGCGGGCACCAGTTCTTGGCCCAAGGACCGGCACGGCACGCACGGAAGCAGTACTCGTTGGCCGACATGAAGTTCTGCCACTCGGGCAGCTCCTCCCAGTTGCCAGTGAAGGCACGCGTGAAGACGTGGCCACCGACGGGGTTGCCCGAGCCAGTGGCGCCGTGAGGGTCGAGCTCTCCGCCCTCGTCACCGGCGCGGATGTGGATCTTGGTAAAGTCACCAGTGCCGGTGACCTGGACGAAGGAAGGCGTCTTGAGGAAGTGAGCGCCCTTGATGGTGCCGTCGGGGATGAGACGCGTACCGTAGCCCGACTTCATGCAGTAGGCGACCATGACGGCCTCGAGGTTACCCACAGTGTCGGACGACTGGGTGTTGGGAGGGCCCCAGAGACAGAAGTCCTTGACCGAGTTGATAAAGACGTTCTGGCACTTGGCCTTGGGGTTCGAGGCACCGTAGCGCTGCTGGCAGTCGTTGTAGCCAGTCTGACCGCCCTGGGCGTCAGTCTTGGCAGGCATGTGAGCCGGGTCATAGGCGGTGACGCCGATCACGCCGGCGAGCAGGGCGAGGAGGGCAGACTTGGCATACATGTTGGCAGAGGATGTCAAATGCGAGATGTACGAGAGGTGGCTGGGCTGGTGAGGTTTAAAAGAGTGTGTAGATTCAAAAGTTGGGAAGCGGACACGATGCAGGGGGACAAAACAGGGAAAGAGTGGGGAGTCTGGTCGGGATAGGGGGAGGAGGTGGGTGGTGGTGGTACTGAAGAGACGAGGGGATGCGAGCGCCTATGTAGTTGGAGGAGCTGCCCGGTTGGACGTTGGGGCGAGGTGGGCGAAAGCACTTCGCCGTCGACTGTGCTGCGGAGACAGTGTGCCAGAGCCTGAGAAAGGGAAGCGCGGTGTAAGCGTAGCTGGACAGCGTGAGGGCCGGGGCGGGCCAGGCAAGGCCAGAGTTGCTCAAAAAGGGTAGAGCAGGGTGGCATAGGAGACCGACTGGCGATCCCAAGCGAGGGGTGCAGCCCAGTAAGGCGAGGGGGGCTCTCAGGCGCGAAGCAGGCGCGAAGCAGGCACGAGGCAGGAGGGCGAAAGATGCCAAAACAACACGACTTCCCGGCGGAGACCAGAATGATCTGCAACGCTGCAGGCCACGGCACGGCGAAGCAGCTGAACCGCCGCGGGCGGAAGCGAGATGCAGAGTGGTGCAGCCAGCGGCTGATGATGCCCGAAGCCTCGCCCTCTATGCGCATCAACGGGAAGGTCGAGTGACCCACCAAATTTAGCTAGCCCGCGCGCGCTCTGCAGCAGATGTTGCGTGAGACCAACACGGGCATTATCCCTCGGCTGCCCCTCCTCGCTGGCCTTGAGTTTCAAAAAAAAGGGTTGCTGCATGCTCAAGTCCGAGCCAACCCTTCTTTTCAGCTTTCCTTTGTTCTGCCGTGCCACTCCGGCCATTGTGCATGTCGCTGCTCGTGGGCGACGCTTCACGATGGTCCACCTCTTTTTCTTGAGCACTTCTCCTGCGTCTCTGTGTCTTGCTACACGAGCGCGGTTGGCAGAACATAGACATGCTTTGCGCACCTGATAGAGGCCCACTGGGTGAGCCTCGATGAGCCTCGGTCTCCCGGACCAAGATCTCGCTCTATGCACTACCGTCAGGTGGGTAACAATGAGCTCGGATCGCTGTGGCCGCGGACAGCGCAGCTGCTGGGGACGCATCGCGGTAGGCGCACTGGGCCGGTGGAAGGCCCGGACCATGCCTGCCTAGGCGAGGCAGCTTTCTGTCAACCGACCGGTGGCAGGAATCCCCCAGAGGGCGCTCAAGGGGCTTACGCATCTCGGCATGCTGCCACAGGAGCCGCGTGTCAACTTACAAATCTGGCTGAGCTGCTGCTGCGACTCCGCGCAAATGCATGCGAATTTCGCAGGTGATTTTACAGAGTCGAGTTGCAGGACAATTGACAGCTCACAACGTAGATCACCTCGGCTGCGGGGATCGACAGCGCGCGTCGCCTCAACCCCGCCCCGCGTCTTGGACCTCGAGGAGTCGAGAAGCGCCTCGTTCCACCTCAATCCGCTCGACCTGACCGACCGACCGACCGCTTCTCCGTGCCCTGAAAGGGCTCTTCTCAGCAGACTCGGCAGTCGCTTGGCAGAAGAGCGCCTTCATCGCCGGGCAGCTTTGCTTTCGAAGCTCCCGTTTTCCTCTGCTCTTCCTGGCCGAGGTGTTGCTGCTCGAAAAGGGCAGCATCACTATCTTTCCCCTTTGGCATCCCTTCCATCAGCTGCTGTGCGTAAAAGACCGACGTTGTCTTCCGCGGTGCATGCTGCAGGTAGACCTTTGCCACGCTAGTCCCGGCGACTCGAGGTGCACTCGGTGACTTGATCGACACCGACAGGTCGCTAGTGGCACCAAGACCATCCGCTCGGCAGGATACTTGCCGAGCATCGTTACAACAAGCTGAGCTCGATGCGATGCAGCATCAGCGTCAGGCTGCTTGCGGTGGTGGTCAGGCGCATGGAGCTTCCCTCGGCTGACTAGCCGTGCGGGGCTGGCTGCCTTGCGACGCCGCTTCGGCTCGTCAGCGCGCAGCATGCAGTCGCTGTCTTTCATGCATCGCCGATGTTGGACGTTTCGCCCTCTTATCGACGCTGATCGGTGATTTGTAATGCGGCAGCTCGAATTTCTGGGTCGAATTTTCGCCCCTATTGTTCTGCGTAACAATCTTGGCCCGGCCAAAAAAATCAATCGACATGAGGATGTTGAGCGGACCCTTGCGTGCCAGAGCGCAGCCGCGCTCCAACATTCCGGTCACCTCGATGACGACCCTGCGCTACAAAGCCACGAAGCACGCCATAGCACATTTGCCCCCACCCCATCGGTGCGCGTAGCTACGTCACGCTCAGAGTGGGCCGCTGTATCAGACGGTTGGACGAAGCTTCTCCGGGACGATGAATCGGGCGAGGTCGAGACGGGCCCATCAGGTGCAAGAGCTCTCGCGTGGCTCGAGCTTGGCCATGGCGACTTGATCGGCAATGCGAAGCAAGATTTCAGCCACCGGGGCGCGGGCCGATGGCAAGACGGTCCAAACGGCTCACGAAAATCATCCACGCCAGCTAAAGTCCGGCTAAGTTAGCGGAAGGACCCTGGAGACAGGCATGCACTCGCTGCAGTCCCAATTTTTTTTTTTT